AAAAAATCGATACAGGGCTTTAGAATATCGATACAGTATCGGGAAATGAAATATCGCGATATTTCAGTGTATCGATATTTTCTTACACCCCTAGGCATCACTGTACAGCGCTTTCACATTTGACGGAGTTATTGCACATAGATATTGTACATATTGCACATTGGTTATTACACATTAGGGTTGGGCAATGTTTTCAAAAAAATGAATCACGACTAATTGTGGTATTTAGCCGATAACAATTAATTTGACAATTAATCCCCTGGAGTCCCTGGACACCCTTATGTCCTGGTCACATGACCAAGTTAGTGGGAAAGATTTGCTCTTSGTAAAAATCTGTTCCAAATTGTGTCAAAATTACATCAAGTTATACATCAATTTTTAAATTGTGTTGATAGATAAATAAGTACAATAAATACAGATAAATAAATTACAGAACTTTTTTTTATTTTATGTTAGTCATATTTGAAGAGGAGAGGAGCACCGTGCAGACTGACTGGAGAAACGTCCAGTCAGTCTGCCTGGTGGCATTAATCATATTAATCTTCAAGTGCCAAATAATAATCAATTAATGTTTTTCTGATGATTAATTGCACACGATACGATTATGCCCAACCCACACATTACACATTGGATTTTTGTGAATGTATTGTTGCCTGAATGCGTTTGCACTGCGGTGTTATGTTGCGTTTAGTGCCCTGATGGCTGTGGGGTTTATCTTTTGTTCTTTAAACTTATAGGTTTATAACTTCCTTTGTAATCCACATACTCTGTCGTCCTGAATGATGCACTGATAAATCAGCATGCTTCATATGCACACAGTTTTAAAAACCATGTATCCAAATAAGTTATTGTAAAGCTACAATAAAAAAAAAGAGAAATGAACAGAAATTTTTAGATTGGAGCGGAATTAAGCATGTGCATTTATGGTCACTTCTGCTGCATTATYTTCACCATTTGAACCTTAATATTACACCTGAATATGAATTTAATTTGCCTTTATAATTGGCATCAAATGGTATATTCTTATCAGCACAGTAATTGGGTAGTGTGTCTTTTATATTTAGTAAATAAAGACACCTTTACTTAATTATGCTACAAAATGTTATCATAATCGGATGATCTGTATCCTAGTTAAATTCTTCACAGAATCAGATAGTGCAGATCAGATGACTGTCTCCTCGAARCTGCAGGGTTCATTTAGCTAATCTTTTTGACATCTCAGTCCTAAACTCTCACCCATTCATCCATCTCAGCTTCAGCTGTTTGGTCTGAAAGAACAATAGGATTAAAGGTAGCGGAGACTTTAAAGCCGAAGGTGGTGAAGGCTCAGAATTATTTTTCCCAGGCGGTCAACTACTTCCTTGTGGGATGTAGGAGAAATAGCAGGTGGAAATGGACTTTCATGTTTATGCTGTGTGTTTCTTCCTGTTTCAGTGCGACGGAGGAGGAGCAGCAGGCTCAGTCAAAGAAAGCCCTAAAAAAGCAGCAGAAGGAAGCAGAGAAAGCTGCTAAGAAGGCTGAGAAACAGGCCAAGTTGGTCAGTGTTGTTATTTCATGTTWTTTTTAAAGATTTTTTTCTTTTATAATTTGGTGTTTCACATCCGCCACCCCACCTTTTTACAGCTGGTTAGTGAGTCGCATGCTGTTTTGGTGGGCATTGTGGGCTCAGCAGGGTTGGTAAGCCAACAGGGAGAAAGAGTTTCTATTGTTCAAGTATTCCTGTTATTTTGACTTTGTTTATGTCCACCCTAACAAAGTGCACCCCCCCCCCCCAATGAATTAGAGATCATGCAGTTGGCGTGTCGTTACAGCCATCCCACACACTAAAGCTCACACAAAGTTTTGCACTCTTATGAACTTGTGTGTAGACTATTTAGCAGTTTAGATAAAATTAAAATTGTGTATTCAAATTACCAGATATTTGACCAGATATTTTTTTTTACCTGACAGATTGAACACAGCTACCACTAACATACTGTTTTAATTTATCCAGCTGAGTGTGGATCATTTGCCAGTGTGACATAAATCAACAAGAATAATAAAGTTTTGCATTTCACTTCTTATATAGCAGTTCTTCAATAAACATTGTTATATATTTCGTCATTAAAACTGTTTCTGGTGTACAACTGTAAGACAAATCTTGCAGCGTTCACCTTAAGGTTCTTTATTGGGTCATCTACATTTTAAATGGATTGTTGTAGCTGTTTCCTTTAGTAATACATACAACACACATTACATTGTGTGACAACCGGACCTGTATGATGCAGCACCAGTGACTGGCATAATCAGCCCATCTGTTTCTTTATTTTTTTATTTTATTTTATTTTATTTTAAGTAAAGGCGTTCAACTCCTTTATATTTTAATGTGTTTTTGTGGCTTGTGCACAGAGTGAAATAAGGTTAAGCATTAAATATATGTATTTGTAACCATTGCTTGCTTCTCATTTTGCTGCATATGAGTTGTGATTTATGCTCTTATTTCATTTTTATTAAAGCTAGCATAAATTTTCGATCCTTTCTACTTTACATGCTAGATACCCCATCTGCAGCTACCAATACTTAACTCGCTGATCAAAGCACTGCTTTAAGTCCTTTTTCATTACTTGTCTTAGAAGCTCTGTCGTGTTCTTCATGCCTAGAGCAGAGTTGAATTGGGGTTCCCCTGAGTACAAACGGGATTTTAGGTAAAAAGGAATAAAGTTTAATGGTGGAACATTAAACGAGTAGGGAGTACTGCTTGATTAAACATTAAAATGCACGTTTTTGGCTAAAACTGCCTCACAAGATTCACTGTGTGTTGCTGTTTTGTCCTGATGGAGGATGAAAACCTATTATTGTGTTTTAAAATAGGGTTGGGCAATTTTGGCAAAAAAATTTATCACGATTAATTGTGGTATTTAGCCGATAATGATTAATTTGACGATTAATCCCCCAGAGTCCCTGGACACSCTTATATCCTAGTCACATGACCAATTTATAGGAAGAAAATTGGCTCTTCGTAAAAATCTGTTCCAAATTGTGTCAAAATTGCAGACTTCAGGCTATACATCAAACTTTAAATTGTGTTGATAGATAAATAAATTACACAATTTTTTAATGTTGGTCATACATGTATTTGAATCAGAGAGGAACACCAAGCGGTTAGTCTGTCAGGTGGCATYAATTGTATCAATTGTCCACTGCCAAAAATTAATCGATTAATGTTTTTCTGACGATTAATTGCACACGATACGATTGTGCCCAACCCTAGTTTAAAATCTGCTGCATAGTGATTTGAAAAAAAAAGTTTTAAATTGTACATACTCTAAACAAAGATGAGTCTGAAGTTGCTTTCGCAAAGATGTTCACAAAACCCACAACCCTGGGTAATGCGTTCTTTTATGATACCCTTATTACGATGTAATTACAAGGTAATAAAAAAGGTAATTAAATGTAAGTACTACCTTATTACCATGTAATTATGTGGCAATTAGGGTACAAAAAAACTACTGTTAGTAAAACTACCTTTATCGGGTAACTACAAGCAAATTACTATTCAATAGTAACTCAACACTATATTTATAACCGAAAGAATGCAACTAAATTTTGGGGTTAGTRGTTAATTGCAATAAAATCTAACTTTAAAACTGTCCAAATTACCTACTACTTATTTAGGTGTTTCATAGTGAATTGTAATACATTACCAGGTAAGTGCTACATTACTGCAGACAATTAATTACATAGTAGAATTGTACCATAATTACCACATAATTACATGTTAATAAGGTAGTAATTACCATTTAATTACTTTTTATTACCTTGTTATTACATGGTAGTAAGGTTACCGTAAAGGAAAGCGTTACCCAACCCTGTCACTTTTTTGTTCTTCAAATGATGCTGACTCCTCTTGCTTTTGAAAYAATATGTATTTTAGAAATCTAATACTTTTATCTTTGTTGAACTTGAACTTCAGACCATACACACCTTTTTATTTTGGGATTGAATGCACCATTTAATGATACATAAATATATTAAAAGTATCCCATAAACACAACATTTAGGTGTCTTTCTGTCTTAGAAACTTATGGGTTAAKACATATAATTTTGGTGTGAAAGTTATCTCTGGGAACACAAACTGCAGAAGAGAGTTGTAAAGCCTTTAGCATTAKAATCCAGTTGTACTGAAACCAAACCATGTCACAAACATTTTATGAAGACCTCAGAAAATCAAATCATCCTATAAAAAACTGGGTGCCTCCTTTTAAGAAAGAGAGTCATGTAGTCTTGACATCATGCACTGTGCTGTCACAACTCAGGTGGCTTTGAGGGGAGCAAAGCAGCACAGAATCAGCTTCCAGATGAATTAATCCAGTCTGCATCATTTTATAGCGGGAGCAGGTGCTGTCACTGTTAGATCCACTCRCTGCAGCTACTCGCATCAATGTGGCATAGCGAGCATTGCCTCAGGGAAGACCTGAAAGCTGAGTTGAATGTTTATTGAGTTGGTATTTTTTATTTTTTTGCAGCGCTACACTTATTCTGCAAACACATGTCAATTTTGTGGGACCGACGTGGCTCAGTTGCTTTATGGCCATAGCAGGTCTATATTCGGTTGATCATAGGATGCAATATCATCCATCATGTGACTGAATTATTATATCAAGGATGAGTGATTCCAATTCACTCCACTGCCACCAGCCATTTCCACACACCAATATCAATTTGCATAGAAAATGGAACTGTAGCATTGCCAGGACTGGGTCTCATCGCACTCTGGGAGTCATTYGCCTAGAAGTCAGTGCAGAGATAAAGAATATCTGACCAATTACACTCTTTCTATTACATAGCAATATCTCCCCCTGCCATTACTCATTGCCTGTGATGTGTTGGAGCAGCGTGTGGAGGAGCTGTGTGCATTCCAGGGATCTTCGGCTCGGCTCTTGGACTGAGCTATGAGTTATTAATTTCATTCAAGTCTTTGGTCATACAAGATGAAAGCACAATTTACATGACTGTTGTAGCAAATCCATTCTCCATTTGAAGTTGAATATCTTAAAGCATCTTTATTTTTTTATTTTTTTATTTAATAGCCAGGAAATAACAGGATGACTATTTGCAATGCTTTATATATTTCCTGTCATCTTTTTGTGTGTGTGTTTTAGGCTGGTGAGCAACAAAGCACAGAAGAAGATGTGAGTATCCTCAACAGATTGCAGTATTCATCTTTTAAGACTATTTTTTTGTGCTTTTGTTCTGGCTTCTGATRCTCCTGTTGAACACCTTTGCAACAACTTGTATGCTGTTACTTGCCTTCACGGCTTTGCATTCCTTTCTGTTCCACAACTATTTTTTTTCCCAAGACTATGATAAGTCCACTCTGTCTCTTATCTCCGATATAGTAGACAGACAGAGAGACGTCAGACACTTTTGAAATTAAAGCAGAAAAAACAACTTCTGATGCATAATAAATCTGATAAGCATGCACCAAAAAATGTGTTGTTTCTGTTTTTTTATGCTTTAAGGACTTCGCCAAGGACCGGTATGGTGTGTCAGCTCTGGTCCAGTCACAACAAAAACTTGGTTAGTACAACAACAACTGTAACTCTCATCTAAGAATTCACTGAAAACATAACAAATAGCAGAGCGAAATTTACTTGAGTTTAACTGAAAAGGAAAGAAACAGATAAATTTATTCTTGTTACTACATACGTGATGTTAGAAGATAATGAGGTAGCATTTTTGTCTTGTAAAKCAAGAAAGCAGGAACAAATTGTATTTGCAAAAAGCCCAAAGACTTTTAATTTCAATCGATTACTATTTGATATTATTTCAAGTTACATATATTTCTTATCTGCACAAGGCAATACTCTCACATCCCTGTCAATCACCTCATGAAAAATACAATATTTTGCCACGAGTTATGTTCTTTAAAAACTTACATCTCTATTCATTTTCATCTTGTTGGATTTTTATTGCTCTGAAGGAAATTTAATTAAAAGATGGACATGAGAGAAAACATTTATTAGGATTCATGTTTGATTGCAGCTAGTTCAAAATGTTCTCACTACATCGATGTTGCTGAAAAAACAAGAAAATTACAAGTCATTATTAAACAGTTGTGCACTTGTTCTGTGCAAACGCTTTAGGCAGATGTAAACAAATACTGTAAAGAGATAAATATTTCATAAAAATTAATTAATAAAGCAAAGTGAATAAACAGAAGGGAAAGTTGTATGAAAACAGTGTTTTGTCTGAAAACAGCATCAGTTTTTCTGTGTAAACTTGCAGACACATTTTAAGGGACATCCAGAGACAGCCGGTCCCTGGATATAGGCTAGCTCAGATTCTTTGGTCTCTTTGTGTGATCCTGAACCCTCAATGGTTTAGAGATCTGGGCTCCGTGCGAGCAAACAGTCAATATAAGGATTCCTGGTTCTTAATACTGACAATGGTTTTTATTTTTATTGACACTTTTTGTTTGGGATCGTTGTCTTGCTGAAGAATAAGTTTAGAGACAATCAGCCTCATTGATGGGATTATATGAAGAAAAAGTATCTGGATGTTTTCAGTACTGAGGAAACAGTTTATCCAGATTAAATCCCCAAATCCTTTTGCAGAAATGGAGCCCAAAAAACTTGTAAGGACCCTCCATCATGCTTTACTTACTGATTTCTGAAAACACTTATTGTTTTTGTTTTCTACACTGGTTTGACAAACAAACTGCTTTCTGCTACACTGAAATATTAAAAATAAAATTTTGACTCACCTATACGGAGCCCCTGCTGTTGATTATTTTGGGGGTTCAATTTAATTTTCACATTGATTCATTCTGACTTTAGATGGGTGTAACGCAGTTCCACATATTTTGAGGTGACTGCACTGCAGGGCATAGAGTTTAAAAGGAAATAAGCGTGCATTACATTACTTCTCCCTATTGTAATTGTGCTTTGAAACCACTTAGACAACACATCTAGAAACTCCAGTTTGGTCTGAAATGTTTGTAAGTGACCACGCTGATGGAACATAGTTTGTGCCTTGATGGTGTACTCAGTGCAACTTGCCTCCAGCTTCACCTTGGCAGAAATTTGGCCAGTTTTAGACCTCTTATACAGCTGTTACTGTTTCAGGTAATGACTGTGTTTCAACCTGCATATGAATCATTAGCACCTATGCTTGTTTTTAATCCTTCAAAGCTGCTGACTATGTTCAAATGTACCAGTAGAAATTGACGCCACATCGAAAATTGATTTGATTTATATATTTTTTCTTTTAGTGAATTGATAAAAATGGGGAAAAAAGTTTGAAAACATTCTGACTTTTTGTCACATGCACTTGAAACCTCTGGGAATTACTGTAATTAAAGCCCTTGATTGGTCAGATATTGTTACACAAGGTTAAATGTTGTTTTTTCCCTGTGCAACCTGTTTTAGTACAGGAACACATACTGGAGCCAAGGTTCCAAAATCTGATTAAGCACTTGATGGCTATCTGTGGTGTCACCTTTTCTGGAAATATTAGTGATAATTCCTCTCACTGTTTGTGTTTGAGAATCTTCAAACTGTAAGGCAGCAGTCAGACCTGTTGCTGTCGTCCATCTGTCTGGATGATTTTTCAGCTCCAGTGGAAACAGACAAAGTAGGACCTCCCTCACCTGCATGCCAAGTTCAGCCATGGGGAGGGGATGGTGGGGGGAGGTGAACGGTGAGGTCTTCCATGTGGGTTGACAGAAAGTTTGCAGCCAAAAGGGGCAGCTTTGTTTTCTCTAGTGTAGCCTCAGTGTCTGCCTCTCCTACTTGCTGATAATAAGGAGTAAGCATGCCTCAGAGTGATACAAGTGAAACTAGAGTCAATTTGTCATAAGGCCCAGAGAGAATAGGTGAGTTTTAGACAGCTTTCAGCAGGSCTTCTAGTGTGTCTTATTTATTAGACATGCTTGTAATTTGAGCCTTTTATTGTGTGCTGCTTCACAAGCACATGCACGCTTATTCACATTTCTTTTAGCCTTTTGGGAATTTGAAGGGGAAACAAAAACAAGGGCAATTCATTGCTCAAAAACAGAAAAACGAAGCAAGAAAAGTTTTTTTTTTGCGAAGTAATTTAACACTTCTGTGTCTGTCTGTTTCTCTGGGAGCCAGACAGGGTGTTGGTYCGGGTCCAAGACCTTACTCCTGAGAAAGCTGACCAGCTGATCTGGTTGCGTGCCCGGATTCACACCAGCCGAGCCAAAGGTGAGATCACCCCTTCGCCCGTGAGCTCTTTGTTCACCTTTTATATTTCAGAGACGTTTTGAGCCATGTGGAGGATATAAACAGGATGATATGCCCCCTGTGCCAATCCATGGTGTTTGATGCTCAGCAGTCTAAAATCACCTGTCCTCAGGCTCTTTCTCAATAACACCACTTCTACTCCCAGATCAAACAGCCGTGCCAGCTGAAACTGAGTTGGGCTTGTTGAATTACATATGACCTAAAACAAATTACATCACTCTATTTGCAATGAAGGGTTAGGAAATAAAAAAAAAAAGATTTGAGATCACACATATGATACCTTTAGAATGTGATGACTTAAAACCCATTTTAGGATTCTTTTTATGTTTCTTTCCTTGTCAAATGGTTTGTCAACTCCAGGCTTTTTGATTTTCTTTTCAGACTAGCTTGACACTGCCAGGTGGAAGATCAGATAATCTGTCCTTTCTTGGCTCCAGCTGCTGGCAGCCATAAAGCGTCTTCATTTGAATACAATGAACCCACTGAGCTTTACCCGGTTATTGCAGTACTCTATAAAACACTATAGCTTTTTTTTCTGCTGTGATTAAAACTGTGATGTGAAATAAATTGAAGCCTGAATCATTGTTGTGTTTTTTATCGTTTCCTTTTCGCGATAACTTCCAGAGTCAAGAGACACTTCCTGTCCGCTTGTGTTTTCATTCTCCCTGCTCGCTGTAGGATGTCCACATGAACAGAACAACATCCTGATTTTGTGTGGGATAAGGTGGTGAGATTTTGGCTTTACCATTATCCCCACAGCCCACCTCCTTCTCACAGGCACCAAACATCAAAGGGTCTGGGTGGTCCACCTATCTGTTGACCTGCGATTTCATTGGCTAACTTGTTTACACACTTCTTAGGTGTGTGTATGTTTGATAGGAAGGTAGCAATCAGCTTTTCTCCACACAGTGCTCTTCAAAGACAATGTTCTGTTTACAGCTGTTTGACACTTTGCCTCATCCCTGCAGCTGCGGGATGCCTTCTTCATCGAACGTTCATTGCTTCAAATTGCCCAAAGTTTAACTGTGACAAGGTCCTTCACTGTCTATTGTTATTGCTTTGCTTTCAGGAAAGCAATGCTTCTTGGTCTTGCGTCAGCAGCAGTTCAACGTGCAAGCGCTGGTCGCAGTGGGGGATCGTGCCAGCAAGCAGATGGTCAAGTTTGCCGCAAAGTGAGTCCCGAGACTGTTTTTCCTGTCAGACGCAGCAAAAACAATGGTGGGAAAATCCTGGGCCCTAATCGTCCACTGGTCCATTTTCACACATTCTGACTGAGGGGGAGGGTGGGCAAATCAATCATTTTCCAGTTGACAGCCAAAGCTGGCTGTTAACTGGGTGGAATACGACAGAAGTTTTTAATGGAGCACTTCCTGTTACGATGGCAGATTACAGCACTTTGGATCTAAGGAGGAAGGCATGCTTAAGTGCCAAACATCATTAGTCATTTTAACAGCTAAATTGTAGCCCATTACTGGTAGTCTATGAATGAACACAATTTTCTGAGGATAAAGAATCTAAGAAAAGAAGGGGTTGGGGGGGCTTATAATAATGCTGCCTTGGGCTGATATTAGAGGTTCACAATAGACCCTTAATTGTGAAATGCCTCTAATGGGAGTTTAAATATACATAAGAAAAAAGTACAATGCAATTTGCTGAAATATGCACGACGTTGATTTCAAAACAAGCATTTGTTTTAACGCCCAGTGTTTAGTGAATTTAATATGGAAGACCTTAATTATCATGTGTGTCTCAAATGGCTTCTCTGTGGATGTTGCTAAATTAAGCCAAAGGTAACACCCACAGCTGTAATCGACCGCATGAAAAAGGTCGTTAACGTCGAGCTTGAGCAATTCCGATATTGCAGTAATGAATGCTGTTAAAAATGTGTCTACTGTTCTGCAGCGTACGAGCTTGGTAAGTTTGGTATGCTGCACCATTCTTTCAGGGAATTGTAAAAAAAAAAAGAGTGGGGGTGAAGTAAATGATCTGAGTGAGAGCTGTTACAGAGAAAGAGAGAGAGAGAGGTGTCAAGCTTGTTTAGAGGTATGTAAGGCTCCATAACTGTTCCAGGTAGTTACATCGAATGTTCAGCAGGCTCTCACACATTCACTCTGATCTGAGCCCATCTTCTCAGCTTTTCTATTTCCTGGGGTCATTACAGAGAATATACCATAAACAACAGAATTTACCATTTTGTAAATAAGAACAAATAAGTCTCTGCTTTAGTCGTTTCTTTTATTTTTATCATATTAGTTATCTATATAAAATACAGACTTAAAAAGCAGATTTTCAGCTRTCTTTTGGAGAAATGACAGTATGATTACTCAGGACTAAAATATTGGGAAGTAAAAGGTTTTGCATCATCTGCGGTACTCATGAAGGCAGTGTGAGGACATTGGTGGCCTTGAATCAAGCTTGCACAACAAAATCGTCACATGCTGTTTAAAGAAAACTTACACTTTCCAGTTTGACATTTAAAGTTTCTCACGTTGAAATGTCTTCAACTACCAAATATAAGTCCAGTAGGATACACACACAGACACACACACACACACACACACACACACACACACACACACACACACACACACACACCAGGGGTGCAACAATACATGTACCCGTATCGAACAGTGCTTTAGGTTCAATACACACTTGTATCGAACAATACAGATTTTTAAAATTTACTTTATCAACATGTCTTCTGAAGATGCTCTGTGTTAAAGGTTCAGTGGATCTGTGTTCGACTACTCCACCTAGGCTGCATTTTTGAGCGCAGGTCCACTGAGAAACTTGCTGTTTCAGCAACATTTAATTTAAAAACTGTACTTTGAGGTTAAACAAATGTTCGTAATTAATTTAAATAAATTACAAGTTAAAAGRGGCATGGAAATTTCTCTTTTTTGTATCGAAAGAATATCGAACCGTGAGACTAAAGTATCGAACCGAACTGAATTGTGAATTTTCTGTATCGTTGCACCCCTAAAATATACACCAAAACTCTCTTGAAATTTTGTTGCAGAACTTAAGGTTTTGTGGAAACGAAACACAAATAGACTTTGAACCTTAGTGTGTTTTAACACTCAGATTCCTTTTAGTAACCCGTGTCATTAACCCATGACTTGGACACAGTTGCTCTTCAGCTGACCTGCTTTTTGCCACTTGAAACATTAGTTGTGCCTCTGCAGGATGGCACAGAGTTCATGCAAGAAAGCTGTGAAGTGTACGTGGTCATATGTGGCTAAGAAAGATAGGTTCCGGTTCTAACTTGGGTTTTCTGTACCACAATAGTGGTTCACCTACTTTTGTGTGATCATACATGGACTGTCTTCTGACAAATTCTGCTGTTAATCTGTTTTTTGCATCTCTCCAAAAATCTATAAGGCTTTCAATGAGAATCATCTTCATGAACAACTGAAACAAGCCTTTTTACATAAACACAAACATATCGATTCTGGAAGTCTGGGCCGACTTTCTGAGCTGATAACAAGTTTTAAATCGTTTTTGTAAAGTCTTAGTAGAAGGTGTTTGTTAATCCACATCCTCTAAATGTTCTGAACCCTTTCTTTTACCACAGGCCAGCGGTGTAAAGTATGATCATACCACTTCCTGTGTTCAGAACAAAAGTTAATATATTCTGTGCATCACACGCTGTTGTTTACTTACACACTTTGATGTTTGTGTGTCAATTATTTTTTTTTAATCTGTGGCAGTTCTTCAATGTGGTTCCACAACTTTGTTGTAAGACGTGTTACAAAACTTCAGCACCTAACAACGGAGCAAGTGAAAGTGACGACAGCAGTTTCCAAAACAAACATCTCTGAGCAGTCTCGATTATCATCAAGTGGGTTTCTGAACAAGACTGTTAGGTTTTCACGTTTATCAGGAAGCACATGTGGTGCTGTCAGTTCTGTGGCTTTCTATCCCACTGCTAGTCTCTCAAACTTTGGTCAGATGATTGACAAGCTGAATGAGACCTGGGATTAAAAAGAAATCCTCTTATAATCACTCTGAGGGCACAAGGGGCATCAGGAGGGGAAGTCTTTCCTCACATGTCCAGGTCATCCCGCTTTCACACACGGTTTAATGAAGCCAGAGCTGAGTGTGAAGCACGCGTGCGGTTGCTTTAAATTCAAGCCAGAATCAGCTGTTATTGTTTTTAAGAAAAAAACATTTCACCCGTCGTCGAGAGCAGCAGCTTTTTATTACAAGGCACAGCCCTTGTATGCTGTTTAGACAAAATTTGTGAAAGTTCTTCTCAGTTTGGCAATGTGAACTTTTTTATTGTTCAATTTTAAATTTTTTCAATTCAAATTTTTTTCTTTTAATTAAAAAATAACTATACAATAAAATCAAAGAGAATACACAAATCAAAAATCAAAATAAAATAAAGGTAGCTGAAGAAGAATAAAGYGTATAATGTCTGCCCCTTTTATCCCCAGAATATATTCAAACGTAACATAATTTACAAAACAATACTAAATAAAAATAAAAACATAAACTCAAACAACAATTCATATAGCTTCACATTTTACTTTTYCRTATACAGTACCTTCAACAAACTAGCTTTTATCTGACTCTTAAATATATACATAGATCTGACATTTTTAAGATCATCTTCCAGACCATTCCACAATCCTATACCCTGGATTAAACTATACCCTGGAATAAACTATACCCTGGATTAAACTATACACTGGATTAAATGATACCCTGGATTAAACTATACCCTTAATTAAACTATACCCCGAATTAAACTATACCCCGAATTAAACTATACCCTGAATTAAACTATGCCCTGAATTAAACTATACCCTGGATTAAACGATAACCTGGATTAAACGATAACCTGGATTAAACGATACCCTGGATTAAACTATACCCTGGATTAAAAAAAATACCCTGGATTAAACTATACCCTGGATTAAAGTACATCTTTCTCTCAAGCAAGTACAAAAATATGGCTTCACAAACATTTCCATCACCGTAAAATAATAAAAACTGTCTCTCAACAAAATTTGCCTGACTGTTGGAAGGTAATACGTTTCTGTTGTTGACTAGACCATTGAGCAGAAACCTTTTTATTTCTGAAACGTCATATTTTGTGGATATCACAATGTTATTATGCATAGCTTATGTGTATTTAAGGTTTGATTAGTACTTTWCTTTGTCTTTTTTTAAATGTAATTRTACAATCTAGTCAAATCCCTTTCATGTTTGGTGGAATTAAAGTAGAATATGAACTCTGTAGTACATTTTTACTGTAGTGTATGTATTAGGGTTGCAACGTTTACCTGACTTATTCCAGTTCATAGATGAGCACTTGTACAATCTGCCTGGTTTAATAGAGCAAGTTTGTGTGGATAAATGTTTGGTCTTAAATCTAGATTTTTGAACAACAGCAGCATGTTTTATAGTAGTAGACCAACGGCTACACCTTTCCTCCTTGTTGGTTTTTGATCATTGACTCATCTTCTGTTTGTCTCATTTTTAAAAAGTATTGTCAAAATTCAGTCCGTTTTTGTCGTTTGCTGTGTTTTCGCCGTCAGCCTGTCTCTGGGGGGCCCACAGCATCGAAGGTTATTAATGTGTAGATTTATTTATTTAACTGATCTCCTGCTAGATGGGAAGAACCATGGTGGCAGCTGTCGTGGGGCCGAAGGGACAGCAGTGCCCCAATGTTCAGTCCCTCATTACTGCTTTTTAATGAGAAGGAGTGACGGATTACAGCAGGTTTCCCATCTGGCCRGGCGCTGTTTGGCAGTTGGTGGTGCTTCTCTTTTCTAACATGGTCCACTGAGTTTCATCCACAAGCTTGAATAGAGAGACAGAGTATTGTTTTTTAAACTAACTGTGACAAAATGAGGAAAAAGAAACACCTCTGCATATGCTRCAGTGATACTTTCATTTTTATGTGTTCTGGGGAAATCTTTACCACTGCTCTCATTGTCGTGTTTGTCRAGAGCTGGGTACTTCCCAGGACCTGCAGTGTTTTACACATGTTTATTTCAAGATTCACAAATTCCCTTTTAACCTCGCTGCTTCGGTATCCTTTTCTTGTCAGCCATTCTGACAGATAGGAAACAATTAAACCAGTTTAAAATGTAAAAATGCGTGATTGCACACATAATGTATGCTCTCATTTGCSCTGGAATTAGCTTGGTTTAATTGCTGCACTTGTTTAATTATCAAATAGCTCAGGTAGAGCTTTTATACAAGAAAAAGATGCTTTTCTGTGAGGAAAAMGTGAAGTAGGCACCATTCAAAGAAAAGAAGCTGGTGGCAAACTAGACTCTGTTTTAAAGTGTCCGAAGTTGTGGTGTATTTTTCCGCAAAACAAAAAAAGTGATTTCATAACTGACATCAATTTTTCTAAAAGAACGTGGGGGAGAAATGGTAAAATGTTTTGTACCCTGTTGCAGGGTTTTGATTAGAGCAGGGAAAGGGGAATTGTGCTTTTTTTTTTTAAATAAAAGCCTCTTGTGGTTTTCCAAATACCGTCCCCTGTCAGCCAGTGTCATTTCAGCAGTTCTACTTTTAGGATATATCAAAAAAGAAAGGAAGATAGAAAAAGAATTTGCACTTCCAAGTCAAAAACAATCATTCGCTCATATCCTACGCTTTCCTCTACGATTCATGCCATTTAAAAAAGTGGAAAACTTGTCTGAAAGCATTGGTCAGAGWTGAACAGAAAACTTGTTTAGATGCAAACAGATGTTTGTGTTCTAAGTGCTATTTTTGTCYTCCAGCATCACCAAGGAGAGCATTGTAGACGTGGAGGCAGTGGTGAGGAAAGTGGAGCAGAAGATCGAGAGCTGTTCACAGCAGGACGTGGAGCTCCACATTGAAAGGGTTAGCATACTTTGACTAGTGCCACACAAAAGATTACACACTCGCTTTTAGTACACAGCAGCTTCCTTTCACATCCACATAAAAACACTGTTTTTTTTCCTTATTTGTCTGCCAGTACAAATGCATCCAGACTTGTGAGGGTTTGTATAATTTCCTCTCACAGAAAGCCCACAGGTGTTCTGCAACTATGTAAACACTCTCACTGTGATCCACTCAATATTTGATTCAACCTTTTCACTTGTCACTGGGATCAKAAGAGGCCAGTTGACCCCACTCAGTAAAGGGAGTACATCATTCACTTGCTAAAGGCAAAAATGGACAATGTTATTATTATTTTTGCTTGTGTATGTCGCTGTTAAACAAAAGTTGTGTTCTCCCCAGATTTTTGTCATCAGCCAGGCAGAGGCACGTCTTCCCCTGCAGCTGGAGGATGCTGTCAGGCCTGATGGAGAGGGGGAGGAGGTGAGGATGGATGAGGAGGCCTGGGAGTCTCTTTTTTTTTGCCCCTACCTTTTAATTTGATGGACTCTGTAATTCATTATTTTACAATGATTATATGACAAGTTTTTCATATCACAGGACAGAGTTCAGGTGTCTCACTGAAAACTGATCTGCTTTAAAAATTAATAAATGAATTGTCATGTTAATGCATTATTATTGCGTTAACGCAGATGATTCTTAAAGGCGACAAWTTTTTTTACGCATGTTAACAGTTTTTTTTAAATTTCTTTATATGTGACCCATCACATCGAAACAAGGATTAAGTCTAAAAGTGTTATATGGAAAAAAAGGCAGATGTGTTTTGATTAAATGTTTGCAAAAATTGCATTTTGTCAACACATAATGAGTAAATGCCTTATCATATCATTTGAATGAACTGTCAGAAATATAATCATAAAACAAAATTCTGAAGCAATTTTTTGAGCAGTAGCAACAAAAAAACTGATTTTGAGCAAAAACACCTTAAAATTTTGGGATTTTTCCTGTGAGCTAGAAATATTTTTTGTTTTTCTAGCTGGAAAATCCCAATATTCAAATACTATTTGAAGTTTCCTCTTTATAAGGACATCAAAAAATCCTCATTAAAATGATATAAAATTAGGATTCAGACCAAATATTTATGTATTATTGTAACCAACAAGACAAATTAAATCATATCTCTGGATTAGCTTATGATATAATGATCCAGGTATCAAAATGTAGCTTTTAAAGCCAGAAATCTGAAAATGTTTTTAGGTCATTTTGACTAAATTTGACTTAATCCTCAATCAATGAGAGCCTTTGTTGTTGAGCCTTTACGTGGCATCTCGCAGCTGCTCTCATGAACCTGGCTGAGCTGCAGCCGGGGCAGAAACGTGGCAGAAATCACCAGATAGAGTATTTTTTTTTATTTTAAAACTTTTCCCAGTGGCGGGCTGCGAAGAAGTAAAGTTCTCTGTAAGCACTGCAACTCTAAACCGCCTTACCACCAGAGCAGTTTGAGCCTGAAACATCACTTCAGTTTAAAACCAGTGTAAACAAACAGAGGGAGGTTCTGCAGGCGAGGCTGATCAGTGTGTTTGAGGTAAAAAAAGAAAAAACTCAAGACCAGCTTGCTTTGACTTATTTATTTAAAGTTTTTGAAAATGCATTGCCCTTTTTTTTAAATATGAAACTGTACCTAAAAAATGCTCTGAACTTCTTTGAGTCAAAGTTTGTGCAGAATAATGAGGTTAAATCAAAAATTCAAGGACTTTTTTTCTTTTTTTATTCCAAATGAGTATTTTGGGAATGAAAGATAGATACTGAAGTCACAGTTGTCAGCAATAAACAAATAAATGAAACAAAATTAACCAGGAGATAAAAAGAAAAAAAAAACTGTACAGTGTGTCACACAGTGTATTGCAACATACAAACCTACACATTCAGCCATAGAGTGATTGTTTCTAAAGAAAATTATGATTAATCGCAAAAATATTGATTAATCACGATTAAAATTATATATGAAGTTGTGTTTTTTAATGTTGAAATAACTAATTTTAATGCCCTTGTTTGACTCTGCTTACAGTGCAGAACACATTGTTTATGAGATACTCGTTGTTTTGGGATTTCCCTGAATAGGAACAGAAGAATTGAGCACTCGTCATATGAGAGAATCGTGTTATATTTAAAGCTGCTGTTCTTCATAGCGACATTTTAATGGTTGTTAAACTTTGAGGCTGATTATGTGCGGTGTGAATGCTCTTAAGCTACAATTTATTTTAGTGATAATGACTTATTGTTCAGTTTAAGACCAAGTTTTATTTAGAATTCGGTTTTATGAAGCTCTTGGTGGGTAACTGTTTTTGTTAAACAACATGAGCCCCAGAAGCTGCATGAATTTGGTTTTCTTTCTTGAAGTTGAATTGCTAAATTATAAATGAGTCAAATAGCAGGAGTTTTTAGTTTTACTTAGCTGTCCATTAGTGCCTATCTTGTTGAGAGTATTTGGGTGATGCTACAATTCATAGTATTTAGTTATATTTAGAGATGCACCGATATGAAAACTTCAGCCGATATCGATATCCGATATAATTATTGCTGTTATGGCCGATAACCGATATTTACCGATATTACACAAACACACAAATTGTATTATACAAATACACACAAACAGACTTGGGTCTTTCTTTGTTACCATAAATAAACAATCAGACCGATATTCTAAAAAAAATGACAAATAGCGGCTGATACCGATATTAGTGCCGATATTTCGTGCATCCCTAGTTATATTACTTCCATTAGCAAATATACAGTGGTTTGCAAAAGTATTCATACCCCTTGAACTTTTCCATATTTTGTCACATTACGACCACAAACATAAATATATTTCACTAGGGATGTCCCGATACCACTTTTTCACTTCCGATACGATACCGATATTACAACTTTGAGAAATGTCCGATAC